CTCCCTTGCCCTTCCTTGCCTTTGGCTTCCTAGGCGGTACCGTGCCAGGACAAAGCAACAGTTTTATGGCAAACTGTATGAGCAGCCACGGTTCTCTACCCTCCCTGGGTCCCTGTCCCTGGTAATGGGGCCCTGCAGGTCCTCGCATCGTGGGGTGGGGCTCATTTCCCCAGTCCTTGAACCTGGGCTGGCCAACTGTGGCCAACAGAAGGTGGTAGAAGTGATGGTGTAGCTGGTTCAAGCCTAGGCCTCAAAAGGCCTTGGACCATATCTCTTGGGACCTCGCTGATGCCATATGAATGCACCTGGGCCAGCCTTCTGGATGATGGGATACATGGACCAATTGTCCCTGTTGCCCCAGGTGACAGCCAGCCAACTGCCAGACACGAGTGAGGCCATCCTAGACCATCCAGCCTCAGCTAACCTTCTAGTTGACTGCAGGGGCATGATTAAGCCCAGCCAAGCCTGGAGCAGGTAAGCAGAACTGACCAGCTGACCTACAGCCTCCTGACCAACAGTAAGTGACTGCTGTGTTGAGCAATTATGCTCTGCTGTGGTTGGGTACTCAACAGAAACTAACCTCCAAGCTTCTCAATTCCTAGTGCTGGTGTTGAGCCTGCAGCAAGAGGGCCTCCAGATCTTACTCCCCCCAGAGTCAGACCAAGTGAGAGGGCCTCCACGTTGCTGGAGAACCCGAATCTCTCTCCTAAGGACCCAGCGCTCCACTGCTCCAGGATCCGGTATCACACCGGTTTACACTCCTACCAGGACTCTTTCTGAGCTGGTGAGAGAGAAAGGTGCTTCTGAGGTGGCGGTGCCCTTGGGGCCTTCACACTCACCCGTGGTCTGACAGTGGATCACCAGGATGTTGGCCATCTCGGCAAACTTAACACTGGAAGGGTTCTTCTTAATTTCTTTCAGGAATTCTCCAAGGACCACCTCACACCTACCAGTGAGAGAAGGAGAAGGGAAATAGTATATGCCAGCTGGGGCTGGAGGAGCCACTACTGGTGCCCATTATTGCTCCGGGCAAGAAGCCACCCAAAGGGGGGGACTATACTTTGAATTTGTCAGATGGACATTTTTCAGAGCTGGGGTTGACCAGTGCTTAGCTTCTCAGAGCTAGAAGCACACGAGCCAGGAGGAAAAGCATAAATTTCTTGTTCTCCCGTGGCTGCTCATCAGTTGGGTGTGGGGTATGCATACACACTGAGGGGCCCTGGCAGTGGCAGCTGCCTGCCCTCTCGCCCAACTTACATTTTCCGAATCTCTTTGCCATTGTCACCCAGGATCTGGAAGAGTCCATCCAGGACCTCTGGCAAATAATCCAGCAGGTTGATGTCTGGCACGGACTCCAGAACCAGGATCTGACCCAGGGGAAGAAACCAGGAAGGGAAGTTATACCAGCCCGAGAACCCTTACCTCCTCCTCACCAACCCTGTGGGCTGTGAGAAGGGGCCCGACTGAGGCAGCCCTTCAAGGCTCTGCAGGTGGCCCAGGGCACAGGGGGTGCTAGCAGCTTTTGCTTTTGTTAAATGAGAGAAGGAACAGTAACTTAACTCCAGGAGATTCAGAAGTCATGGGGAGAAGGGAATGCCCGGGAAAGGACAGATAAGCTGGAAGAGGTGGGACTGCTAGAAGTGGCACTACTGGCTCCAAAGCCAAGAGAAATCAGGGTGTTTCCCAGGAAAAGGGAAGAATTGGACCCTTGTCAGGGGCTAACATGATGGGCTTGGGGGACAAAGCTGAATAAATGTGTTTGGATTATCTGGTGTCACTGGCTATTGAAGGGATAACAACGAGGCCTCTGCAGCCACAGGAACTGCCCAGGTGTGCCAGAGAACAGATTTTACTAAACTACAGGTTTGTTCCAGCTGGACCTTACCCAGGAGATGATGAACTGCCGGGCATACTGGTTGTTGGAGTAAATTCTCTCCCGCAGCAAGGGGATGAAGCCCACCAGGTCAAACTTGTTACTTTCCGTCACAATGTCCTGTGGGTCAAAGACATGTGAGCTGCTCAGAGCCAGAGGCCAGGGGCTGCCTCAGCTGGCTGAACTACTGGCCTGGGGCTGGCTCCGGGGTCAGGTGGCCACAGAGGGAAATGGCAGAGCCCGAGCCAGGCAGGAGAGGTCCCCTGAAGCACCCACCCTCTCACAGGCCAAAGGACAAGAAAATATGATGGATTAAAAGTAGGAATCAAAGTTAAGAGAACTAATAATGATAAAACCATACATCTGTGTGGTCTGGACTGAATGCCCTGGTGAGCTTAGCATAAGCAGACCCCTGTCACTGGGGGCAAGGTGGTGTAGGAGGCAATGGGCAGTCTCCTTTGCCGTGGGGGGCTAACCCCAGGAGATGTTTATGGGGTGACAGAATGGATCTGCATTTTGATTGTGCTGGTGGTACAACACTATACGTTCGCCACAGAACTAACTATAAGCCAGAGAGTCAATTTTACTGTATGTAAATGAAGGCATTTTTAAAATTAGGGAGAGCATCTCCAGTGAATGAATTTGTAAGCCGTAAAGATGGAAGAAACAGATTCTAAAAATAAAAGTGGGGACCAAGTACAAATACCTTTAAAAGGCGGTCTAAGAGCTCAGATCCGCTTTTCACATTGGGGTCTGGGTCAGCAGCCAACTGCGAGAGGCACAGAGGTAGAAAAATGGTCACAGTCCATATCTAAGACCAGGAATCTCCTGAAAACCCACGGCTGCAGCCCCAGTACAGCCTGGAACAGTGAAGGGTACCTCTTTCGGTGACTAAATCAAGGAAAAGTAGGGGAGGTGGGATGGGCAAAATGGAAGTCGGCCCAAAAATTGAGATGCAGTCGACTTCCCGTTCTGTCCGGGGACCTTGGGATCTGCTGGGGACCTTGTGACCTGCTGCCACTGGGTTAGGTGGTCGCTTCCCCTTGGCCTCCCTCAGGGGTTTCCCATCTTAAAATGCTGGGTTGTCTTTCTACTCCCGTAGGAGGGGACTGAGGCAGCCGCAAGGCTGACACTCTAGAAACGCCGAGCAGCTCTGCGGCCGGGGGGTGGAGCTCTGCGGCCGGGGGGTGGAGCTCTGTGAGGCCCACAGAGGCACTGAGGAGGTGTGCGAAGGACCAAAGCGTTTCCAAGAGCTTCTTCCAGAGCTGATGGGCTAGTGCTCTCCTGCCAGGGAAAATACAGCCTGTGCTATGGGCTCACCACCTTCACCTCCTGTAAGGGAGCTTAGTGCTTTCCAAACTATGTTTCCCTCCAGTTTGTGGTGGACTGATCATTTCATAAAACACATTCAAAATGAATTAATAGAGAAATGAAAAAAAAACCCCACAAATGTAAATATAAGCCCATTAAAGAAATTATTACTATATTGAACAGACAAGTGCCTCTGCTGCCACATGTTTAACTGCTCCTCTTGCATCTGGGAAAAGGGACCCAGGACCTCAAGGACCTGGACGGTCAAGGAGACGGGTGGAGTGAGCTCAGCCAGCTGGAGGGAGGGGTGGTCACCTTACTCAGCCCGTCAAAGAGCACGTTGAAGTGGGGCAGCACGGCCCCTCGGGCCACCTTGACGATGTTGTAGAGAGCCTCACAGGCGTAGTAGCGCAGCCTGCTGTCTGCGTCACTGAAGCAGGTCAGCACTGGCTCAATCAGTTCCTTCAGGTACAGCCCTGAGTCCTGCGATGGGGCAGAGAAACAGCTCAGAATGGGCCAGACAGCAGGTCCCCAGCCCCCAGTGCCAGCTCACATCTCAGCTCCCTCATAGATGCTCAAGCCTTTGTGTGGGCTGAACTTAGAGACTCTTTGCAAGTCAGCCTCCCAGGACAGGGGCCATGCCAGGGATCCAGGCTGCAAGGCTGCAACACCAGCCTCACTGGTCTTAGCGTGGAGATAATGAAATAAGCACCAGTCTGCAACACCCTGCTGGGTCTCAGGGGTCAGAGTCAAGGCCACCACCAGTGTATGTGTCCCTCCAGGAGAAAGGCCCACCTTGCCTAGTGCAATGGAGCAGGCGGCCAGGCCGATGAGGCCCCCTTTCCGGCTGTGGGGGTGCTGAGACAGGGCAAACTCCTGAGACAGGGTCTGGATCACATGCTTGATTTGCATGGTGTTGTTCTGGGCCACGAACTCCCGGACCAACCTGGAGAGAGAGGACAGAGGGGCTGCAGGACAGTGGAATCAGGCTACCCCTGCTGCCAGCTCCAGGGCCTGGGGCTGGGATGAGGGAGGGAGATGACGTTTGGAGAGAGGAATGGGGAGTCAGGCATTTCAGGGTCAGCCTCCCCCAGTTCTGTCGCCAGCTGGGAGGGGCTGGCTGGGTCACGATTATTTCCCTATTCTGGGTCTCAGTTTCCCTTTGTATACAACAGAATGAGGAACAGTGGAGCTCTCTCACTTCTGGGAATCTGGGAGAATGCAAGTGAATGACTTCCTGGGGACCAAAGCCTGCAGCGCATTATCAGGTGATCAACTGTCTTGATTCAACACTTGTTCAACCCTCCATTCTTGCACCCAAGAGGGTCTCTGCATCTGTGTCATTATTTCCAGGGATGGTGTTGAATTGGGCCCCAGTTCAATAGGCAAGATCGACACACAGGGAAATTGCAGCAACTTTGCAGAAGTGAGATCACAGAAGCCAGAAAAATGCCATAAGCTAGTAATTTCCTTAGGCCGATTGGGAGGTGCCATGTGAGTCAGATTTTAAAATGACCCACAGGCATTTTCCAGGTCAAGAAAAAGGAAGGCAGGGACTGGCATTCCAGGCGCAGGGAAAGCTGGCTAAAGGCAAGGAGCTCTGAAAAGATGGCTTATTTAGGGAAGCAGGAGGAGTTTGGCATGTGGAAGGAGTGGCTACGGACAGTTCAAGGAAAAGAGAATCCAGGGCCAGTTTTCCAGCAATGGGGTAACACGCTCAAACCTATGTGTTAACCAGGCACTTCTGGTGGGAGCCTGGAGAGGCGGGACTGGTAAATCCCCACAGGAGAACACAACAGCTCTCAGGGGCAGGAAGAAGGGTGTGGACATGGCTGAGGTGGTGGGAAAGAATGCATTCGCAGCCCACGTACCGCAGGAGGGAGGGAGGGGAAGAGGTATAGATATGCCTCCGAGGTGTCCGGCTGGGGAATGATGCCAACAGGGAGGAGGGAGGTCTGAGGGGGGCCACTTTTACGGGAGGGAGGTGACCCGTGGTCACCCAGGGGCATGACCTCAAGGCAGGCCCTGCCCGAAGGGGAGGAGAGCAGAGTGGAGCCTGGTTCCATCAGGGACCAGGCTCTGTTTTCTGAGCGCAGTAGACACAAAGGCCGAGACACTCTGCCCTTCAGAAGCTCACAGTGTCTCTGTGGTGAGATGCCTCATGGGGGAAAATGGTGGCATAAATGACCCAGATAAACCGAGGGGAGCGGCGGCCTGATGTCTTCCCAGAAGTGGATTTCAGCCGGACCTTGAGGAGGCAGGGAGAGAGAAGGAAACAGAGGTGTTTCAGGCAAGAGGAATGTGTTACCAAAACACAGAGAGGTGACTAGCCAGGCTGGTCTGGGCCCTAAACAACAGAGGGCTGAGGGAAATCAACCAGGATGCACTGGCTCTGGCATTCTAGCATCTCAGATTTGGGAGAATGGATTTCACATCATGAGTAACAGGGAAGCTTCTTATGGTTTTTGAAGAGCAGCGTTTTGAAGAACGTCTTAAGAGGCTGAGAGATGGATGGGGAGGGAAAGACCCGGTCCATCATCCAGGTGTGATGAACCAGTGTAGCAGCTGAAGGGGTTTTGATGGCAGTCTAGAGATTATGGACTTTTCAAAGGAGTGCCTGGACTCAGTGTCTGATCGATTTTTGTCCAGTCATCGCAGGTTCACTGCTTACCTTGTGCATAAATAGGGCTCTCAAGTCAGCTCAAAGAGTTTTAAGAACATTCAAGTCCAATGGGTATCAATTAGTGTGTGTAGTTCCAGCTCAGTGTCAGGAACCAGCTAGGAATTACAGCTGTTCAAAAATAAATGTGCTGTCCTATGAGGCAGTGACAACACCTGCAAAAAAGGTCTTTCAGTTGACATGGCTTAACAAAGATTCAATGCGGCAAGTCCTATGGGGCGGCTATTCTGTGTTAGGTATTAGGTGCACAGAAGTGAACAGGCCTGGCTCCTGAGTTGGCTGATGTGGGAGCAGAGATGGGAACCAGGAAGGGGCTGCACAAATGGCCTGTAAGATACCTTTTCCTTTGATCTTTATAGGGTGGATTCCACCAAGCCCACCACCCAGGCTTACAGGTGGAAGCTCAACACCAGTTCCACAGGCCCCAGTCCCAAAGTGGTGTAATAAGGCCCAGCAAGGATGGTTCTGTATAAACCTGTCTGGTTTCCGAAACTGGACAAACCAGCCAGGTAAGGCTCAGTAATTGGCCAGAGCATAATTCTGAGGACTAACAGATGCAGCTCCTTGACGAAAGCCCTGCAGATGTGCCAAAGAACAGCTGGAGTACTGGTGGTTCAGTGGTGGAATTCTTGCCTGTCACACAGGAGGACTGGGTTTGATTCCCGGCTATGGTAGTGTTGTTTTTCTGCTTTTTCCTGGCAGGCTTCCCCTCACAGAGATCCTGGGGTAGAAGCCGGCACCCTCAACCACCACCCTGGCCTGTAGTAGTCAGGGGTGCTATGAATCTCTAACCACACTTCCCTGCTTAGTGAAGGGTAACCACAGCAGCTGGGGCCTCCAGAGAGGCACAACTGGCTGTGAGACCAAGGCCTTCATGCCCCTCACACGTGAAGGGACTCCTGCTTTGCCCCCCCCCAGTCTCGGCCAGTCTTCAGCAGAAACTGTGGTGAAACCTGAGAATGGTAAAACAGCTTAACACACATGTGAATGTGGACTGGAAGGACCCACACATCCAAGGCGAGACAAGCCACCCAAAGTCTCAAGGTGCTTTTTGCTACTGAGAAGAAGGGACTTGAGCTCTAGTTTCTCTCCTGAGGTCTGAAGGAGGGCAGATCAACTTCACACACACCTGCCTCCTGCCTTCTCTCTCATGCTTTGTAGTCTAAGCTCTCTGTCCTTGCAGCTGTACTAATGTGGTGGCACTGGAGCCTGGCCACATGTATCTTTAACTCAGCATGTATGGGGGGGAGGGGAGTAGGGAGCTGAAGACTAAGGTTAAAGGGAGGTGCTCAGACAGCTGCTGACAGCTGGAGCATTGGTGGTTCAGTGGTAGAATTCTCGCCTGCCACGCGGGAGGCCCGGGTTCGATTCCCGGCCAATGCAGCAGCAACATAAAAATTTTTCAATTCTAAGACACTGAATTTAAGATTTCACACTGCCTAAGGAAACTATGAATACAGTCTGAGAACTGTGAATAACCTGTTTCCAGTGTGATTTTTAAACACCCTTGATGAAAATGCAGTTTCTTGAATTCCACAAAGATCTAGAACCTGTGTCCTCTTGTTCTTGAGGAGCCCAGGAAGTGGGGATCACCAAAGCCACTGAGAGCAGCTATGCCCCCCCACTCCTACTCCAACGGCCTGCCTGGGAACTCTGGCTGCTCACAGTACTCCTGGGGGAAGCCAGGCCACATTTCTGCTGGGTACAAGTTAGAGCAGCACCTGGAGTGAGGGTAGGGACGTCCACAAGGCTTCTATAGGGTCCAAAGATCAGATCCAGCCCGGCCAACAGCACAGGCCATTTTGGAACCATCTCCTCACCTGTCCCCTTGTTTCAGGTTATAAATGGTCCCTGAGCAACTAACTGGGAAGGACACTCTTTCCTGTCCCAGAGCCAGCAGACAGGGTGCATTCCTTGCCCTTGCGGAGCTCTCTGCCAAAGTAGGTGGAAGAGGAAACAAGAAAGTCCTTATGGACTTCCATGCAAGGCACAGAAAAAATATCTGAGCAGAGTACAAAGCGAGGAGGGGGAGGCGAGAAAGAGCATGACAGCAGCTTTGGTGGGGAGAGAGCAGGTGTAGCTTCACAAGGGTCAGCATCTGTGAGGGTGCTAAAGAATGAGTGTGTGCTCTTTCTGGAGCTGTTCTGGACAAGGCAGCCCGGAGAGAGGGGGGAGCATGATCACCGGCTCAGAAGGAGAGGCGCCTGGCTTGGCAGAGTGAAGGACGCAGGTGGAGGAGAGGTGGGTGACAAGGCTGGAGAAGCTGCTCCCAGGCATGTGCTTGGGAAAGGGACTGGATTCAATTCTGGTTGCAGTGAGGAGCCACTGACGGTTAAGCATAATCTGCAGTGGGGGGTGGTATGGATTTTGAGTGGTGTGTAGGGAGCTCTGAAGACTACGAAGGCTTACAGAGACTGACTGGGCAAAGAGTATGAGAAATGGGATTCTAATGTTGGGTTAACGTTTGCAATAATAACAGGGCTGCCTGAAGGGAGGAGACAGGCAAGGGACATTTGTGTTCCACTCTGCGACTCTGAAGGCCCAGCAGGACCTTTCGCATTTGCTCAACACCAGCTGCTGGGAGGCTTCCAGCACCTTGAGCCCTGGGCTCAACTCAGGGCACCCCAGGCCACTGCAAAAATGACAGCCTGTTTGAGTCCTGAGGCCCTGGAACCCCAAATTTCTTTTGTCTGCACCTTTGCACTTAGGGGTAGAACATTCTTCACGTGCAGGGAAACATGACAATCACTGGTTCCCTCTGGAGGGGAAAGCATGAGAACATGCTCTCACTGACACCATCAGCTCGGTGAGCACTGGGCCTGGTCCAGTGGGTCACCCTGGGGCTACAGCAGGAAAAGCTGTCTCACAGATCAAGCCTACCTGGCACTTGGGGGGACAGAAACAGGGCCACACTGACTCTTGCTAGAATCACTGCCCGGCTGCCCGGAATCACCTTTCACTCCAGCCAGACCCACCTTTTTACTGGGCCCAGCTCCTTCCACTCCCTATACACTTCCCACCTGCCCCAGTGTCGGGGAAAGCTCCTGCTTCACTTCCTCTCCAGTCTAGGAAGCTCAAACGCAGCCTCCTGCTTTTCCCGACCATCCTAGAAGTGGTCAGTCTTTGGATGCCGGAGGGCTCGGTGACCCTTCATTCTGTGCTTGGCAACGCACTGTGAGCATCTCCCTTTCCTTCTCATGCACATTTCTATCTCTAGCATCTTGCTAAAGTCCTGAGGACATCCTGGGGCCATACTTCTCTGCTCT